TTGATGGTTTGGGTCATGAACCCTTTGACCCTTGTTGAAGGCAGACTGTCCCCAAGAGGAACATAGCAGCGGGCAGCAACCCTGTGAAGCACCAGGCAGTACAGTAGAGGCAACACGGCTGCACAACGCCAAAAACGACTGCAGAACAACACGGCACGCCGAACTTGCAGCAGGGCACCCAAGCAGTGAAGCACGAGGCAACACTACCAAGACAACCACACTGCAAGGGACAAGAGGACAAGTGGACCAGCAGCAGAGCGACCATGCTGAGGGGCACAAGGCAACCCCAACACGGCAACCAAACTACAGGGCGCTCAAGCAAAGGACCCGGAAGGCACGACCAGCGGGCGGGCGGCAAGGCAGCGAAGCAGCGAAGCACAAGGCAACACAACAACCCAGCCACACCACACAGCGAAGACAGCAGCATGCCAAGAACAACCTGCGAGGCAAGCGGAACGGGCAGCAAGGCAGTGGTAGAGCGCAGACGGGGTCGTCTACACATCCAACACGGAGCAAAGCAGCACATCACCTACTCACATCACGGGTGAACCCCACAGACTGTTGGTTCCCACGACCCACTGAGCCAGGAAGACACTCCGACGAGCATCCGTCATCACCTACAGGCAACACAGACATCCCGAACCGAGCGCCCCCCTAAGAGTGCAGTTGGCACTCCAAATGAGGAACCACCGACTGTTTGGCACTACTTAAGGGTGCTCAGTTGGGCACACAGAAAAATACTTAGAAAAACTTAGAGGGAGGACAAGCAGCAGGAAAAAGACTGGCAGATAGAAAACTGTGTGTGTGTGTGTGTGTGTGTGTGTGTGTGTGTGAATGGGAACAAAGACTGCATTGTTGTCAGTTTCAAGCCTATGAGACTGGCATGCAAGGAAAATGAGCAACAGCAAAATGATAGAAACCCAGATTGCAAATTCGCATTGAAAGCCAGATAGTCGATCACTGTCCAGAAAGCAGAAATTCACTGAAATGACACCGAAGGAGAAGCAAAGCAGCGAACTCGATTGTCATTAAAAGCAAGTTCTCTCCATCACCACATATGCGATCGAAGCTCTGCATCTTATTGGCGCTCAGCGCCCAGAATACTTCCTACTACCAAACGATGATGCAACCCATTGACATCAGCAGCAGCGACCAAAGTATAAGCAGATGTCGACCATGTAGACCATCGCCCAGACCAGGTACGTGTCCCCACATCACCATCCTCGTCTCTCTCTCTCTCTCTCTCTCTCTCTCTCTCTCTCTCTCTCTCTCTCTCTCTCTCTCTCTCTCTCTCTCTCTCTCTCATCACCCACCTCTTCCCCATACACGAAGACCGCCACCACCTCCGCTGACTTTCGTCCAAGCCTAGCCCTGGCTATGGCGATGCCTTAGAGCAGCGCCCTTCTTCCACCGACGCCCGCGCACGCCTCGACACTAGCGCTAGCGCAGCAGCCCGTGAGCCATTGCTCCAGCAGCGCTGCCGCCTGCACATGCGAGTGCCCGAATGCCTCCCAGGCTGGCGGGCACTTTCCTCCAGCTCTTGCGAGTTTGGCTGCCTGGACCGAATTTCTAGTAGCTTCCGATTGGGCCAAAGTGTCTGTGCTCAGGCCCGTTCAGACAGTGGCCTGAGACCGAATTGGTTAGGCATGCCCAACCACCCAGGTGCAAACGTACGGTGTTCCCTGCTTCGGTTGCTGGAAGAGCCTGGAAGGCTCATGACTATTTCTGATTCCCACTAGCAAGGCGGATGTAACCAACTGGCGCGTGGCAACTGTCTGGCGCCCACCAAGATTTGCAAAAAAATGATGAACTAAGGCCTCATTGAAAATTCAGGGGCCCGCCTTCACTTAGGGCGGGCACACGTCCATTGCAGGGCCTTATGCAGGTATGTCGAGAAGTGAATGCCTCGCAGGCATTTCGAAAGTGGAGCACAGACGTTCGCTTCTCATCCCTGTTTTGCTTCATCCTGTTTCGCTGTCTCACCCCTGCCTTCTCAGACTTGTGCATTCTCTGTTGCTGTGAACCACTTCGGCAGTTAATGTGAAAAAATGTCTAAAAAAGTTAAAAAGACGCAATAGAGATGGGTTTTCTGACATCATGTTTTGGTAGGAGGAGTTGAACTCTAGATCTGTTTAGCAACAGTTGCATGTGTATACATACCTCAGCAATAGAGGTGGGCAGACACAAGGCTCCTAACATCTTTCTGCTCTCTGTCTTTTCCTTTGTCTCCATCCCTTTGGTGGCTACTAAGACTGGTGCATAAGGAATCACAGGCGGAGAACGAGTCTCGCGTACCTTTTTCAACCTGTAACACCGTTCCGTGCATGGTCTTCTCCTACGTCATCTGGACAACAGCAAACACGAGAACAGAATGGCAACAGCGATGGCAACAGCAATGGCAACAGCAATGGCAACAGCAATGGCAACAACAATGGCAGGAGTGCAGTCCCATGGCAAGATCCAGCTCAGCATCAGCACCACGGGCGACCACAGAGTGCACCGTCAAGCTATCCGGAATTCGCAGGCGGAAACAACCATGCGGGACCAGACGAATCACAGTCCAGATTTACGCACAAGCAATCTCCGCCGAGATCCGGCACGGTTCCGGAGACCATTTCACACATGCGGCAGTCTCTGCTGGGGCTTGCATCGCCGATCTTGGCTGCAAAGGAGCAGGTGTTTCAAAAACGGATGAGTCCTAAGTACACAACAGCTCATCATGATCAAGGGACGGACAGATGGGCTGAGCCATGGGAAAACCCCAAAGGTAAAAATCGCATTCTGCTGAATTTCTGCAGAAAAAAAACAGGTCTCGTTGACGTTGGTCCAAAGCTGCCAAACTCTAACTATCCTGCGAAAAACTCCGACCTATCACCCGGTTCGCCGAGTGAGTGAAAAAAAGAAAACTACTCCTGCAAAATTGTTGCGTGGGTTTGCGTATTCCAAGCGCCCGGCATTTGGTCGAAAGGGAAGTGGGGGAAGACGGCAAAATTGTTGCATGGGTTTGCGTATTCCAAGAGTTCGATTCGGGGGAAGACGGTCGGACCATACTCCCCCCACCCCCCACAAAAAAGGGGAAGTAGTGCTGATAATTCATTGTCTCTACAGCTCAACTCATGGGAACCTGAAGGGGAAGAGCTCCTGCATACTTCTTCAACTGGGCGATCCTGTGAGATTCTAGCTATCACTATTGTTAAAAAAAAAAAAAAAAAAAAAAAAAAAAAAAAAAAGATTCTAGCTATCACATTCATTCTGTCAGACTAAGAGGAAACAAGGTGTATCTGACAGTTAATCCCCTCTAGCAAAGAAGCAATCAATCAATGCTGTCCAGGGGTTCCTTTGGCCTGCAACAGCAGCAAGCGTCTAAGTGAATGGGTTGTAAATTGGTAAAACACCCCTGGGCTGGCTACTGTTTCAAAGGCCAAAGGACCCCCTGGTCAGCAAAAGGACCTGGATTCATTCAACATCAAGTTAGATAAATTACACTCTGAACCTCAATATGTAATGCCATGAGTGCCAAGGGAACCCACCCCAACTCCCCCACTTCCCTTTCGACCAAATGCCGGGCGCTTGGAATATGCAAACCCACGCAACAATTTTGCAGGAGGAAATTACAGCTGGCTGGCCAACTACAAGGAGTTGCATGCTTTAATGGTATTCAGCTCAAATGCCAAAAATTGGCACAAACTCAGAATCTGCTGGCAGGCAGAAAGGGACTCAGATGTAGGAAGAGCCGAACCGATAGGGACATAAAAAGAAAGGAACTGGGAAAAAAGTGGCTTGCAAGGGTCGACATCGGGATGCCATTACTCCCTAACGTCTTCACCCGAATGAAACGTCCATTCATTATCGCTGCATCTGGTCTCAAAGTTGCCCCAAATACAGCTATAATTACCGGGTGTTTTATTCGGGCGAAGACGGTAGCTTCCGAGTCTTCAAGATGGTCTAGCAGCCCGCATACGTGTAAATTGAGGGGAGTCAAAGAAGAAGGAACATGGGGTCACTGCCAGTTAATCCTCCTGTTCCAGGGGGTCCTTTCTTTGGCCTTTAAACCAGTACCAATCACTGCTGACCAGGGGGTCCTTTGGCCAAAACGGGCGGAAGCGTAGAGTGACTCGAACTTGCCAGTGGAAAAGGAACCAGACTGATGCTCCCCAGAATAGAAAGGAACAACCGTCTTTACCTGAATAGGACGTACCGTCATTTTTGCTGCATCTGGACTGAAAGTTTGGCGAAATACGGATCTAATGACCCTGCGCAGGGGCCATTTTTTTTTCTGGGACCATTTCTCGATTTATGCGTGTCATCCCTGCGCAGAGGCCATTTTGCTAATTACCCTTCTCTGTATCGTTCCAATTTTAACGGATGTCCCGAAGGACGCAGCTCTAATTTCTGAATGATCGCCTTTAGTTGTTACCTCGGACAGTCCCAGGGTATTTCTGAATGCTCGCGCCTACCGTCTTCACCCGAATAGAACGCCCGGTCATTATCGCTGTATGTAGACTGAAAATTGCACCAAGTACGGCTATAATGACCGGGCGTTCTTTTTTTTTTTTTTTTTACAGAACGATTTCGAGATCTTGAGGGCCTTGTGTGAGTATCCTCTTACATTCTCTGTCCCAATATGTTGCTGAACGATTGCCATTTTTATTTTTATTTTCCCTTCCTTTCTATTGGTGGAGAGCCGCACCTGCCGGAAACTGGGTCCAGTGTCCCAAAGACACAACTTGCAACACATGGTCCATGCTTTCCCACGTTACGGCCTGGGAAACCCTGACAGCCTTGATTGCTTGAATTTGCTACTTATAAGAAGAAGGGTGAACTGTCAGTCAAGCCCATGCATTGGCCTGAGCAGCGGACAGAAGGGTCGAGCGCTGGTGTCTCGTTGCCGGCGATGTTGGGTGTTCTTTGCTGTGATAAGTGAAGTCCACGGACACCTGCGTTTCTGTATTTAAGCCCATGAATTGTGAGTCAATCGCCTCCCGCCACTGTTGAAGTCCAATAAAGCACCAATACATGCCAGCTATTGGCCGCGGGGCTCTTTCGGAGGCCGCCCGCCGCCGATTCATTTTATCTACGGCGCTCGGCCTCCTAATTTTTCGGAGAGGCTCGAAACAGGCCCTCCAGTTGCCTGGGGACTGGTGGTTTAAGAAACATGCCGAAAGAATCCAGAACCTTCTTCCCTTACGGCCCACATCTGTGAACTGCCTACCTGATAGGCCACACTGTGTCCTGCATCGGGAAACCGGGTCCAGTGTCCCTTTGTTCTCCCCATGATGGAATCTGGGCCCAGCATCCCTGTCCTCTCTTCTGCTCTCTACTCCCTATGTCTCTGCTAGGCTAACGCTAAGGTCCCGGCCCTCTTTCGACGTTCTCCAGACGACAGGTTTGGGCTTTGAAGTTTATGTGAGGGACGCTGGACCCAGTTTCCAGCAGGTGGTGCTCCCCACAAGCGGACATGATCCAAGGGCGGGCTACTAATATGGGGGATGCTCATACCACCTCCATTAGTGTCCCGACGCCTGTGTATAAAAAAGGGAAAAAAAAAAGTTTGTCCGCTGCCCCCTGTTGCTCTTGTGCCCCTCCCCTCCTACTTTGATGCTAGGCTGAGGCATTCTATTTGGGTGAAGACGGTAGTTATCGTTTGGCTTTACTTACAGCTTACTCACACTATGGTAGGCCCTCAAAATCGCCCCCCTCCCCCCCCCACCAAAAAAAGGGATTGCTACACTCTTGCCCAGTGTTCAAGAGCCTCTCAGCGCTCCATCCTAAAACGATGAAAGGGGAAACTACGCGGGATTCACAAATACGAGTTATAATTGCACTATGGGCCAATATACAGTTTGCAATTGCAGTTCGGGCAATGTATACAACCCAGCTTTCTGGCCAGGTAGGGTGCCCGAAGTGCAATTGCAAACTGTATCTTGCGATTCTTGCCGCATAGTGCAATTATAACTCGTATTTGTGACTCCGGCGTAGTTATGCCAAGATGAAAATAGCACGAAAAATAAGAGAGGTTGTGTGGCAAATTGGCAATGTGTGCCACTGGCCACAAAAAAAACGCAGTCCAGAACGGGCAAAAGCCTCAAAACTCGAAAAGTCAATTCTTCAGACATTCAGTTTGAACTCTGAAGCGTCTGAACAACTTGTTAACGGTATTCAAAAAACAAAAACTTCCAAAAGGTGAAAAAAACTTGTGCAATTTCACATTGCTTTGTTTTCTTGGTGTGTGTATGAATGTAAGTCTGATAATAACAGGTTTGTGAACTTTGTGCGCCTTTGTTTTCTGGTTGGTGGGATTACCAGAACATGCCCGGAGGATGCACAGGCCAAATCCACCCTATGCGAACATGACACCAAGGACCATCCTTGAGGAGATGAAGGAGATCGACAAGTTCGAAGAGCGACTGCAGTTGATAGTACAGACACGAAGCGGGGCATATGAGAGGGATGTGCTTAATTATGGGCATGAACCGAAGAAGGGGCGGGTCATAGGGAATGTTGGACGATTTCGCAACCAGGAGAGGAATTCAAGGAGTGCTGTGCAATGTTAAGAATACTGTGGGAAAGGCGGAGCGGAGAAGGAAGAAGACGTAGTAATAATCGGGTGTCTTCGCAAAGAATGAGAGCATACCCATACTAGGAGGTTTTCCTTCAGGTATTTGACTGCAATTGCAGCCCATCATGGATGCATCTAACCACAATTACGTCCGTAGACGTCCGTAGATTAGATGAAAAAGTCCTAGGTGCTGTGTGAGTATGCTCTGAGATTCATGATGGTGGAAGCCTCGTCACATAGTCCAGCACTATGTAAGAAGATATCGTCCGTTCAGATCAGTGAACAATTGTTTTTCACATTTTCTATAAACTGGTCTATGTTTCACCTTTTCTATAAAATGGTCTTATGTACTATGTTTCTACCCTCTCCTGGTAAACTGGTCTATGTTTCACCTTTTCTATAAAATGGTCTTATGTACTATGTTTCTACCCTCTCCTGGTATTGTCTGCTGTCCTGCTGTCTGTGTTTCCCTTCCGTTCTACATCGGCCTCTCTTCTCCTGGTCCTCCTGTGATGGACCATTCTTGTCTCCTTTTGGTACTCCTGGTATTTACTTCTATCTCGGTTGAACCGCATTCTGATACGATCGTGTGTGGTCCTGTGCAGGTCTTGTTGGTCCTGCTCGTGTCCTGGTCCTGTTCATGTCCTGGTCCTGCATGGGTCCTGGGCCCTTCATTGGTCCTGGGTCCTCCATGGGTCGTGGTTTGTTCCCACCTCCTGTTTCGTGCTGGCCTATCCCCACCCTATACTGTTCGTCGTTTAACATACTGGTTACATTAGCTTGTCTGGCATGTTTCCCTTGTAGCATCTGGTTTCTATACGGTCGGGTGTTTGTTACGCTGCCACGGTGTTTCCCAGCGCTGTGATGAAGGGCCTCGAAACGAAAAGAGAACCAATGCATCTGCCACAGAAAATTGGGTAAAAATGCATCCATTTTCTATTCATAATAATGGATGCCTCTTGCCCTTCTCCGCGGGAAGATACATGCTTTCGTTTTTCGTTTCAACAGTGTTGCGGCGAGGGCTGAAGTCTCTCCAAGGGGACTACATCTTACATCTTAGAGAGACTTCGGGCCTCGCCACACCATCTCACATCTCATCTTGACGGTCCAATAGGTACATGCTTGATGGAGGGAAGGGAAGTTAGTATTTTTTTCCCTTCTTATCTGGTCACATAGTAAGTGCATGTTTACCATATAAGAACGAAAAAGCCACAGAGGCCCAGAGGGTCCAGTACATGCCTGTGTTTATCTTGTCGTAGTGGGTATATATGTTTCCCTTCAAAAAGACCCGTGGAACTCGCGTTCCATGGGTTTAGGTTAGGAAGCCCCGTATGTTCTTTTCGTGAAAGGAGACATTTCAAATGGAAGGTGTGAAGAGTATGGAAGACGAGATTGGCGGTACAGCAATGGAGAGGATTACATTAGAGGAACAGGTTGAAATTTGAAAGGTTGTTGTTGTTGTTTTTGGGGGGGGGTAAAAGGGCGATGGCCTTGGGACATCATATTGGAACTGACCAGCCCTGCCAGGTAACTCAGAAATTACTAATTCACTCAAGTATGGTAGTTCCATTTGGATTCGAACTTGGGTCTGTATTTCAACAGTTCATGGCTGTACCAACTGAGCTAGGCCCACTGGTAGATTCTATCTATTTCCACTTCTTTTAAGTGAAATCTGTTTCCATTTTGGTGCATTTCAACTGAAGAGGATATATATAATATTATATATCGTCACAAACAGAACTGCCCGGTAAAACCGTAGGCAGAGAGAGAGAAGAGGACAACAAACGAGGGGCTGTGACAAACTGTTTCGTCG